TAAGGCATGCTATATAGATATTCAATTCTTACAAGTCCCAAATTAGTCAAATCATATATTTTGCTGACTGAACTATCACCATCAGTGACAACCCTTCATTCCTCTCTCCAGGACATAAGAATACAATCAACAGAGATACCTCATTCCTGCCCCACTTTCATCCACTCTTATTCAACATTGAAAGCTTACTCTTCCAGAACTATTTTTTATGAATAGAAATCTTTGCATTCAAACTTAAAAGAAAAAAATCCCTCTTTAGGGCCTGCATCTACAATTTAATAGTTCTTATTCTTGGACTGTACAACACATTGTACTCCAAAAACACTTTATGTATTCACTTACTTGAAGTTATTAATTTACAAGTTTAACTATCAAGCTAAATCTGCAAACAAGATTTATTTCAAAGCCAACAAGAGATAAAAATCAAAATTGTAACAAGCCTATAAGAAATGGGTCTCAAATGTTGAAAGTAATACTTAACAATATAGATAGAATGGAAATTTGTCAATCAAAATGTTTATAGTATGAATAATTAGCCTCCCATAAGACTAGAAAGCTCTTCAGAGCTTCCAAAATAACCTGTTTTTTGGCCTCCCACCGAACAATAACGCACTATTATTATCATTCCACATCAATAGTTGCCTAGGTATTTAGGTAGTGCATATGTGGCCACATTCCATTCATTAAGGTTGGTGGGAGGGAGTGGCAGGGGCGGTAGTGGCAATTAGATGCAATACTAAAATCATTTGTATTAAGTAAAAGTCAGAATTATCTGCAGTAGAGAAGTTTATTAGCAAAATGTTCAGTTATTTTGTCAAATTATATTTTGACATTGTTATTCCTAATATTTCAGATTAGTAAAACATTTCCTTTTACAAAAAAAAAAAAAAAAGAAAAAAAAAAAAAAAAAAAGCAATTTCAGTCTTCTAAATGCTAATATTTAAAGTTAATTTTCACTTTTGTAGATGTAGTGATGAAGACTTCTTAGTCTCCCAAGAACTTTAAAGAAAAGGAGTTATGAACACTTATAACTTCTATGTCATTGTCATAATATTAGCATTGAAATCATTGTTGTGAGGATATAATTATTTTAAAGAAATGTAAAGAAATATTTTTCTTGCATTTGAAACTATTCTTATGTATACTTTAAAACTAGACAAACTCATTGAAAATACTGTTAAAGCTAAAAATTAAATTTCAGATCCAGAAATTGAAATATTTGCTCTAAGCTATTTGGCAAAATTTCATCCATTCCTGCAAACAAAGAATTTCTGATAATAAGCAAAATATGTGTCACGCATGATACATGCTTAGATGATCATATATCTTTCGATATATGACTGATGAAGCAGATTTTTTTCCTGCAGTAGGGTGCCATTTGTTTCTGCAGTAGACCAGTTACCATCCAAGGCTATAAAACTCAGTTGTCCTGCTATTTACCAATAGCTGTGGAGAGAAGAAGAGGATTCATACCTTTCTCAAGGGTATTAGCACATAAGTGAATGTAATGGATTTGACTGGAATTCGAACTCTGCTTTCCGAGTTGGTATCCATTACTCCACCATGCCTCCTCTGGAAAAGTGTAGTGCAATAGTCTTTTTTTTTTCTTTTTTTTTTTTTAAAGTTTTCAGATTTCTAAGTTTATTTAATCCCTTAAGGAAGATACTTCATGAAACTTGTTTATTGTCATTTACTTTCACTGTGTCATGGTTTGGGGATATGTTGAATTGACTATCTGCTAACAAGGGCTTTAAGCATTTTTATACATATAATAGATATTATCTCTACATGCAGTATATAGCAGAACTCACACAACTTAAGAATTTCAGTCATCGAGAGTTGTTTTATTGGTGGGGAGGGGAATGTCATCCCATCCTCACAGGTGGTCCAGCTTAGGAAAGACATCCTTTCCTAAGAGCATTTGCATAAAGTGAACGTAATGCACTAATTGAATTCAAATTCATCCCAACAATTTTTCTTTTTGAACTGCTAGCCTTTATACTACTCCAAGTCAACATTACATTAAAAAAAAAATACTTGCACAATTTTAAAAATCAAGGATTTTATTTTTTGGTAAACATGTGGTGACTGTACAGGCACTATAAATGAGATTTAATAGCTGCTATGCTTAGTTTAATATTCTAGTACTGATTACACTAGCAACTAAAGACGTATGATAAGTAGCAGTTATAGGAAAGGCATCATTCAGACAATTTTATAGATACTCTCCTCCAAATGAATTAAAATCTAACTTAAAGAGAGTTTCAAAATTTTCTGAAACTGGAAATAAGACTAAACTGCAATTAAAATATTTTGTTTGAAGAATGTAGTCTTATTTCCAATTTCAGAAAATCTTGAGGATTCATATTTATGGAGTGGAATTAGAGGCTCTAAAATTACATTAGAAGAAATAGAAGATGCAGAGCAGGAAATACTTGGATAATGCATTTAGAAACGTGCTTAGCTAAGTACTTAAATAATTATCTCTTGTGGCAATAAGAAATTAGAAACTTGTTAGCACTTTACAGTTCTTAATGTGATAAACATATCCTGGTAAGGGTAGAGACATAAGATACTTGATTATATTTCATTAATGAATTATTTAAAGAGGTACATGCATTTAAACTTCTGTATTTGGTGCATTTTCATTTCACACTTAAGCCAAAAACAAAAAAAAAAATCCATAAAATAGTATTCATTACGGAAGGAAAAATTAGTAACTTTGCCCCAGAATAAAATTATAAAAGTCATCCACATAAGCTGAAAGTAACTAAAAGACTAAATATGAGCATAGAGAAAGCCAATGTGGAAAAATAGATACCGACCATCCCTTTTGAGTTCTCTACATATTAACAGGAAAAATTAATAAAGTTAATATTTTAAAGTAAAAAATCAAATGTAACAAAGCTATTAGGTTTTTTGTCTACAGTCTCAGGCAGAGTTTGAATGGATGCCAACAAGAACTTTGGCTTGTGCTGTTGTAATGCATTAATAGAGCTGATTCTCAAGCCTCCTGTTACATAAGCATGGCAGTCACAACTAAATGCAAAGAAATGAGAGAGGCAGGTAAGCAAAGTACATCAAATGCAAAAGAGAATGAACTTCCTTTCAGGCTACTCATACCATTACCATCTCAGAAAACAACCACCAAATGGCTTCAATTTTTCATAAGAGGAACCCTACTACAACTATTAGGGGAAAGTGGGTAGTAACAAAAATTTAAAGTATTGAACTTTGGTATATATTTGTAGGATGAGAAGAATCCCATTCCTGCCCAACAATTAGATGATGGAATAGGAAGAAGATTTTTTTCCCCTCTTCTAAACACAATCCCACTTTTCATACAAGAGTGTAAATATCCCTCCTGCTTTGCCTTGGACATTCTCCATCTATATTCACTACAGAGGTTGAAAACCCAAACATTCTTAACATCCAAGTGGTATATATATCAAACTTGGCATGAATATAGTAAACATTACAGAAAAGCAAAAATGTTCAAACTGTTACATTTTATTTAACTTGGAAGTAAGGTGGTAGATACCTACAAAAATTTTCTGAGAAAAAAAAAAAAATCTTATTATTTAAATTTTCGAATCCTTTTTAACATTCAAAATATTGGTAAATCTTGTTTTTCTTGCATCAGCAGGTGGGCCAAAGATTAGTATTGGAAATTCAGGTATCTTTTTTGTGTAAAAAACATTGTTTTAGAAATTCTGGCAAAAGAAAAAGAAAATGGTTAGATTTTAATGAATTTTTCAGGACGTATTTACAAATGAATAAAATAATTTGAAATTTTTTGTTTTATATAGAAAATCTTGGTATATATATATATATATATATATATATATATATATATATATATATATATATATATATATATCTATTATATATATATATTTTAAAATTTTGCCTCACCCTTTAAAATTTCAGCCTCTTCTTATGTATGACTCCTTGGAGAATTTAAAGCAACAACTTTTTTGCCAAACAGAAATGCCATTTACCAAAAATGCAATAAAACTTACACATTATTTAATTAGAAAAGCTTTTAACTGCTTTTATAAAAGAGACATTAAGGACAAATAGGGTCCTCAATATATCTTTAATATGTCATTAAAAAAACATTTTGATGAATAAAAAGAATTTAATTTTTTTTTTTAATTAGAAAAATTTATTAAGTTTTAAATCTTAAAATTCTGTATTAATTTCAGCCTTCTCGATGATATTAAGTTAAAACTATATTTACTAATCAAAAATGGAAAAGCTTAATATAAATCAAGCACAATATTTTTAAAAGAATTTTGAATTTTTTTGTACGTGTATAAAAGTAGCAATTTTTGTAAGTACAGACTACCATACATGATATCAGAAAATAAGAGTGATAACTATAGTAAATTTACAGCCAAAATTTCTAAAATTCAATAAAACATGAAATTACGGAGAATATTTTTGATAAATTTTAAAGATTACTGAGTACTAAAAAAAAAAAAAAAAAAAAAAAAGCTTTCATGTAATTTTCTTCAATCAAACCACGTTAGATCAGTCATCAGGTTGTCAACATGTCAAAACAGCTACTGTTGGGTTAAAAAAATGCATTCCTGTGATATTTTATACTTAAAGTAAATGTTTCAAATCAGATTAATTATACTTTAAATCAGTATAAAGTTTCAGAAAAGTAAATTTTATTTTTAGATTGTCATAATAAAGAGAATTACATTGTGATGAAAGAAGACTAAACAAAAGGTGCTAATCACCTATTTCACAAAAAAAAAAAAAAAAAAAAATAAAAAAAAAAAAAAAAATAAGATTCCTTCCAGCCAATTTATATTAATTTTTGAAATAAACCAAATTATTTTGATTGTAAATATTAAATCTAATCTAAAATAAAAGCATCAAGAAAGGGTGTACACACTTTATAGAAAGTATCATAATTAGATTATGGTAAATACAGACTAGATGAGTAAAATCTACAAAATTGGAATACACCAAAATACCAAAGAGTTTTATTCAAACAAAGAGAGGATGAGAAAAAGAGAGAAAAAAAAAAAAAAAAAAAAAAAGAAAGAAAGGAGAGAGAAAAAAAAAAGAGAGAAAGAAAGGAGAGAGAAAAAAAAAAGAGAGAAAGAAAGGAGAGAGAAAAAAAAAAGAGAGAAAGAAAGGAGAGAGAAAAAAAAGAGAGAAAGAAAGGAGAGAAAAAAAAGAGAAAAGAAAGGAGAGAAAAAAAAAGAGAAAAAAGGAGAGAGAAAAAAAAAGAGAAAAGAAAGGAGAGAGAAAAAAAAGAGAGAAAGAAAGGAGAGAAAAAAAAGAAAAAGAAAGGAGAGAAAAAAAAAGAGAAAAAAAAAAAGAGAGAAAGAAAGGAGAGAGAAAAAAAAAAGAGATGATTTAAATTTTTGAAGATCAAAGATGACTGGAAAGTATAAAGCCACAAGCAAGAATACAAGAGAAGAAACATAATATGGTTACATCTAGACATTTCAAACGCAAGATGAGGAAACCTTGATGCCAATATAGTACTCTATGTAAATTCATAAAATCTAGGCAGCATAGAGGAATGTTGGTCAGAACAATTTCCATGAAAGTATTTATAGAAAAGGTGCCTGGGAAGCTATGTTACAGTGGTGGGAAAGTAATTGAAGCAGAGATGCCAGATTAGGACAAATAACATTGCAGATTCTATTTTGGATTTCATCAGGAATCTAAATATATAGAAGCATCAGACCAGAGGTGGCAGCAATATTCAAATATGTAAGAGATTCTGGCAAGAAAAAAATGTCTAGCATGACACTGTTAACCAACTTTCTTAACAGCAGACCTAGCAATTAATTCTATATAATCCTTCAAATTTATGTCAGTGGTTGTGGGGAAAATTGTGAAAATGGCCTACCTCAGAAATGCCCGTGAATCTGGTTGTTCAACGGTAAAAGAACCAAAATGGCGGTGCCCATGTTTTATGCCAGGCAGCCTCGGACAGTTAACGTAAAATCTCGTTGTCTCGTCATTCGCATGCAAATTGTGGTCGGTCCTCGGCTGTATAAAGCAGGCGCGTTTTTGTTTCTGAGTACCGGGTTTTTTGCTTGTGAGAAGGTTGGACGTGTCCCACTGTTTTGTTGGTTACCTTCCTTGTGTTTTTCCTATCTGCTACTATCAGCTGAGTCATTGCTTTACCACCACAGTGGTAAATATTAAATCAAGAAGTTGCTATGCATTACTTTTCTAGAGGTTAGCATCAGCCATCTCTCGGATGATAAAAAGAGAGCAGTTTCATTTTGGAGGGGTTAAAATTAAAAAGCAATTCTTTGCCCCAGTTAACAAATTGTAGATTTTTTTTTTTTTTAGATCAGATGCCAATTTGACCATATCAAACCAATCAGACTTCCTATTATGACAGGAGTAAATAGTTGTCATCAGCATAGATACAGAGTTGAGAAATGCTGACATAAAGAAGGTCATTTAAGATAATTAAGAACAACACGTAGATCCAAGGATAGAGCCGTGGGGAACACCTGCATTAATGCAAAAAGATCTAGAAGAGTGGCCATTTTAGATAACATTCATCTTGTGATGAAGATCATTATGCCAAGCACTGTCATATGCCTTTGAGATGTCCAAAGCAACAGCCCAAATGTCCCCATTCTTAATTAAAGTTTGATAGATACTTTCAGCAATAATTTTTCATGCACTAGGAGTTGATGCAAAAGCCATGTTGATTACTTGAAAGACGACCTTGCAAGGCAAGATGTTTAACCAAGTCAGAGTTGATTAGAGCCTCTAGTACTATGCCAAAAAGAAGTAGAAGGTTAATAGGCTGATTGAAGGATCAGATAATTTGCTGAGTTCTTAAACACTAGAACTAAAGAGAATTTCAAAAAGCAAAAAGCAGTATAAGGTCTGATCAAAAAGTACTGAGACTGGTGTTATAAAAAAGAAAACCACAACACATTAATTCGATATTTAATCTGCTTGAAAGTAGTCAGCTTCTGAAGCCACACAATTTATCCAGTGTAATCTCAATTGATGAAAACATTCCTGGAACTCCTTTTGGGAGATAGCAAACAGCTCACTCAGCACATTCACTTGGATTTTCTTGAGGTCTTGAAATCTTATTCCTTTCAAGTGGGAGTTGATTTTTGCAACGAGGAAAAGTCACAAGGGATTAGATCTGGGGAATATGGTAGTTGTCAATCCTGTGGAACATTTTGCTTGTCCAAAAATGGCTGCACAACCTGCATTGAGTGAACTGGTGTGTTGTCATGGTAGAGTTGCCACTCACTGAATGCAGCCAATTCTGTCCTTTTCCAATGAACAGCATCTTGTAAACACTGCAGTACTCCTTGTTTACTCTCTGGTAGAGCATACTCATAATGAACAATAACCTTGTAATCAAAGAAAACTGTCAACAGTATCTTCACATTGCCTCAACTCATTCAGGCTTTTTAGTTTTGGAGATATTGGCGGGGGGGGGGGTCTTCCATTAAAAACAAAAGCAAGTTCAAGAGCATATTTCTTAATGACTATTGCAGAGATTAAATCCACATGCTTTGTGAGAATCCAGTTTAGAGATAGTAGCAGAAACCATGAGCATATTACTCAATAGAGACTCAATTATGACTTTGTAAAATCTGATTTATTTGCTTGAAAATGAATCTCAAAAGCACCCATTTCAAAAATCACATATTTAAGGGTAGTGTAATATATAGTAAATAATCAATTAGGCAGCAACCTCATGAAGAAAAAAATATTATTGCCACAATCAGGTAAGTTTTAGGTATGATACTAGTAACATAATACAACCTGTCGCATTGATGTGTGACTGGCATCTAAACTAGGCCCCTCACTAGCATTTCTGCTGGTGAGAAAGGGTGTCATGTTATACCACAGGACAAAAAAAGACCTGTTAGGCGGATGAGCTTCTTTTATATATATATATATATATATATATATATATATAATTCTTAAAAATGTGTGTGATCTGATGTTGTTTATGTGTTTTCATTTGATTTTGATGAATTTTCACTATTGTTTGATAGATAATTCTTCAGTACTGGTTTTGAGTCCAAATTGTTGGTGACAATGGCTCTCCACTACTTCCTGTCCATTATAACTCAGCAACATTTTACTATCTGTTCTTGAATGTATATATATCTTTTATAAAAACTTTAATAAAAATAAATACTTTAAATTATTACAATAATATCAATATAATTCTCAAAATGTGTGTGTGTATGTATCTTTGCGACTGGATGTTTATGTGTTTCCACAGTTTTCATCCGATTTTATTAAATTTTTTTTTGTTTGATAGATAATCCTTCAGTGCTGGTTTTGAGTCCAAATTACACATACCCCTTCTTTTGGCCAAGAATTCAAACTCAAGTGAGGTTACTTTTTCTGTTGCATAAAGCCTACTACTACAGTTTTAAGGCATTGCTTTCATTGTCGTTTATAGTTGTTTCCAATTTAAATATATTTTATCGTCCTAACCGGTTTTTGCATTGCATTCACTGTAGTAATAAATAAGCATGCTTTTTTATTACTCAACATTTATTTTTCCAACCTTTCCTAAAGTTATTTGAGCTTAGTGATTCCTGTAGCTTTAAAGTGTTCTCTTCCAGTATTTGCCCACACATTCCATTTGACAATTCACACTTGCCTAAGACATGCCACCAAAGAAAAGAACTTGCTTAGGTCACAAGACCGCTGCCACCAGGTCCGCCATGCAAATAAGAGAAAACAAATCATCTTTAGAACATTCAGTTTGCCTGTCTCAAAATGTCTTAGTAGCTCTGATTGAAACATTCTAAGTCCAAAAGTCAATGTAGCCATTGGCTTTCCAGAAGAGCATACCTAAACACTTCTGTGCGTGAGACTGAAAATGATGATCAAAGGACTCAACAGCTGAGGAGAAACACCTCTTCAACTGTATGTGAGGCTGAAACAAAATTGAGAATGCAAAAACGACCCTTTTCAGGGCCATCCTCCAATTCAAATTGTTAACCTTCCATTTGGGGATGTGGCTCAGTTGCACCCAATTGTTTTTACTAATATTGATTTTCAGATGGGCTGACTTTAAACAAACTGCTCAAATTGAACAGAAAAATTCCTAGTAATGATAGATGGGTTATGCTGATAGTTGATTTATATAATTGAAAAATTCCTTAAAAACATGTAAATTTAAATGGAACTTCTGTGCCAAATTTTTATTTCAACACAAGTTGTTATGCTACTAACATTAGAAGTTGTATTACAAAAACTAGCCAAGTACAGAGCAAAAACAACATGGAAAGAAATCTTAATTCATTTAAATATTTGGATATATGCTCTTAAAGGCAGCACCAATGCCAAAATACAATTTATCAGGCTTTTCCTCACCAATATATTGTAATGTGGAATACTCAAAATGAGATTCAAGTTTTGAAGAATTCTAAACAGAAAAATGATGGAAATGTGCTGATCAGACCAACCCACTTACAGCATATGCAACACAGGTGAATCCCTATTTTACATATATGGGTTACTCCACTGGAGTGTTATTGGGAGCAATTTAATACAATTGTTTTACAAGTGGAATGTACAATATAAACAAATATTAAGCTGTTCAGAAATATATGCCATTTTTATATATGACAACAAAAGAAGCTGAATAATAAATAGTTTGTAATATGGTTATTACTTTCTAAACTTTTCAGAGTAAAGATTTTTATTTAATTTCTGTAAAACTAAAATTTGGATAAAAAGCTACTGAAAATGCATGGAAAAAAAAATCAATTAAGCCTTGTAGGCATGGATTTTTTATAAGTGAACTTGCAGAAAAGTTTGATATGAACACATCAAGTATTGCATTTGTGTAGGCAAAGTTGGATAAGTTTATTTGGTTAAATCAGTACTTACACTTTCCCCATATTATTTGCAGTTCTTTATTTTTGGACAGCCCAATAATCTGGCTCCAACTAAAACATCACATGAAGCATGCACAAAATTACATAGGGGTTATTCCATCTCAAATCAACCAATGACCACAGAAAAATTGGGGAAAATTCACAGGTTTTATGTGAGTGAAATTATTGATAAATCCCAAATATTAGATCTGTATTTTTTAAGTTTTAAAATCAGAGAATCACTGCAATTTTTTGCATTTTGCTAAATAAGGCTTTTGATGAAATTCTAACATTATTGAATGTACAGATTTGAATCTTAGTGCCAATAGTTAAATGCTAACTGTAGATTACAAAAAAATAAAAAGCTTATTTACTTTCATTTTTTATAATGATCAGAAAATGCCCTTATGTTGTACACTTTGAGAATTTCACATTCACAAATTTTGTCAGATACAACATCCAAATTAGTTTTCTTTTCATTTACGACCTAATAGATTATTTATTTCTATTCATAGAAACGTCAATATTGCTTGGAAACCGATTTTTAACATCTTTAAAATTGCCTATTTCCATGACATCAGCAAACAAGTTTAAGAAAATATTTATTTTACCACATATTCTTACAAGTCTGAAGATCCTGTGACAGAAGTTTATTTTGTGGATAATCACTTTTAATCTAAGAACAGTGGGGTTTCCCAGATTTTTAGAAGAAAGGAGGAAAAAAAAAATTTTGGAGAGGGCCACCTGTGGCCATTGGTCGATTTGAGATGGAAACCATATGTAAACTTTAGAGCAATACTTTAAGTTTGCTTCCATAATTTTTCTTTGGGGAAAAGAAACTCACACACGAAAAAGAAAAATACACAAAAGAAAAAAAAATAGCACACACACAAAAGAAAAAAACAGAAGAATAAATTTACGATACAGAGCAGATTTTGGGGTCCGGTTTAAAAAAATAAAAAATAAATACAATAAATAAAGTAAAAATAAATTGATGATAAAAATAAAATTCTCCAAGGACTTGTTTTTATAAATATGAATTTACGCGCGCCAGAAAAAAAAAAAAAAAAAAAAAAAAAAAAAGAAAGAAAAGAAAAAAGTTCTCAAAAATTTCATAAAATTAAACAAGTGGGGAGTGAGGTAAAAACAGATTGTATTTAAAAAATGTTTTTCCAAGATTAAAAAAAAAATCATTTGTAAATAAGTCGAAATGTTCATAAAAATCTGACATTTTGAATTATCTGATTTTTGCATTAAATTTTCTAAATCAATGTTTTTCACGACAAAACGCTCAAATTTCCTATACTAATTTAAGGCCCCTTTTAAAAACTTCAAGGTTCGGCCCTTTGGCACTAGGAAAAAACAAAAAAAAAAAAAAAAAAAAAACTTGTCTTTAATAATAACAAAGATTTCGACAATAAAACTTTTTATTGAGTTCTTTGGACATTAAAAAAAAAAAAAAAAAAAAAAAAAACAATTCATATCTATCGAAAAAGATTTAGTGTCCTTAATGAATCTTCTTATTTAATTAAAAGCTTTTCTAATTAAATAATTATATAGTTTTTTTTACCTTTATTGCATCGTTTATTTTACGCCCCGGAGCAAATTTTCGGGAAATGAGTAGTATTTTTATCCAAAAGAAAAAAAAAAAATCAGATCAAATTTTTGAGGGTAACATGTAAAAAAAAAAAGAAGCAAACTAAAAACCCAGGTGCTGAATGAATTAAAAAAAAAATTAAATAAAAAATACTTTGGTCTTGCCTCTTAATAAACATTTTGTTTGACGATAAAACTTTGTTTTTATTAAGTATGGGGGACTTTTTTCATCATGCTCTGCTATTTTTTCAACAAAGTGGAGGAACTAAAAAAAAAAACACCTCTTGAAACAGGAATTGACACCGTTCATGTCAATGTTTTGGAGCACATTCTTAATTAATAATTATCATATACTTTAACTTTTTCTTTTAGTTTGATAATCAAGTTACCATTCCATTATAATGGAATGGTAACTTGATTATCAAAAGATAGGGATTATTCATAGAGACGACTTGCTTAAAGTTATAATTCTTATTTAATTTACTGAAAATACTTGTTTAATAAAGGATAAAAAAATTCTTTTTTTAGCATGTTACCACGTAAAACAATACATTTTGTAAATTTCTTCAAAAATATAAAAATAAAAATAACACCCGAATCAACTTAAAGAAAAAAAGTTCTAAAAAGGTTTAATTCAAGAATATCAAATCAATAACATTAACAAAGACAACTTCTGGATAATACTGACGTTGAAAACTAAATTCAATTCCAAAGCAAAGCTACCAAATCATATGTCATCAGTTTCATTGCTAGACGTTATTCTTCTTGGTTAAAAAAAAAAAAAAAAAAAAAGTATAATTTTCTAATGAAAAACTGTCCATTAAGAAGAATAAGATTTATGTTTTGTTGTCAGATAATTGACAAATTAATCAGCAGTATATTTACATTACATTAAAAAAATAATCTTCAGAAAATAGAGAAATTCAAAAATGACTTACAATAAAGTTCAGAAAAGTTAAAAATGAGTATCCCTCTTTAGTCTTTAAAATAAAACAAAGGCTGAATTTTCTAAAGGTAAATTATTTTTCTCTGAAGATTGAACAAACAATAGGGAAAATAGAGTATAACAAAAAATTAAAAAGATAAAGTAAAAGTAAAAATCTATAAACAAAGTTGTCTAAATCATTTATGAAAGAAAAAAATAATTGCATCTCTATCCTGAAAAAGATCTGGTTTTTTTTATTAGGTCTACACGAGTAATTTTAAAATTTAAAAAGACTTGAATTTTGGCCTCAAAGAATGTGTGTGACGATATTCTCAATAAAGTTGCAAAAAATTAGTTTATGAATGTAATTTAAACTAAAAAGTGTCAGTAATGAAGGTAACGATACTTAGACTAATTTTTTTTCTTTTTTTTAAAATTTCCCTACATAAAAAAAGCCGGCATAGCACTTCATTTCATGAGAAATATTCTTTAAAATTAAAACTTAAGGCTTTGTTTACTAACAAATTAAATGTGTAATGAAAAAAGTCATTTAAAAAAACTATTAAGGAGTTTTGAGCCTTATGCGCAAAAATGTTTTGTCAAATACTTTTTTTTTTTGCAGATATTAATTAACTTCAGAAGAAAAAAAATCGTTATTATTTTAAAACTTATTTCGATGAGTATGATCGATTTTTTTTGTTTTTATTGTGTCTTAAATTAAATGGAGAGATAAATTTAGTGTTTTTCTTCACAAGGCTGAACACGAACAAAACAAAATGAAAGAAAATTGTAAGGGATTTTTAAGTAAAATAATTGTCATGAAGGGAGAAGTCAGTGATCATTGAACTTGTTATAAAAATTAAATTTAAAACAAGTTTTACAACAAACATTTAAACAAAACGACATTTTTCTAAATTTTAAAGTTTTACAAGTTAAACTTGTTTAATTTATGGCGAAGTGTAAGTAAAAAGATGATCGCCGTGGCGAATGTTGCGGATTTTAACAAAGTAAAAAAAAAAAAAAAAAAAAAAAATTAATGTACATAAATGAAAGTCATTTCGCAATATTTCTGTCGAGAAAGGGTGTGGTACATTTTCAGAATTATAGATCAGAATAGACATTATTTTCGATCTATATGTAATTTAGTTAAAAATTTTAACCATGGTCAAAAAGTGGGTGTCCATTATTTTCTAAGAAAATGTACAAAAAACAAAAAATACCCCCCCCAAAAAAACTGACCTTAATGATAATTGCCTACAAGAGAAATGACTGAATGAATAAATATAATTGGGAGTGCAAAAGATTGTCAGGTCGTCTTTTAGGTTTCAAGCATGATTCAATCTAGTAACAAATGTCCCCGAAAATGTTAGAAACTAGAGGAAAGATTGTCATTGTCTAGAAGAGAAACGAAGCCGGACTGACTGACGACAAACAGCAGATGATTAGTTAGTAAGAGGAGAGGCTAGAGAGACAACAAAATAATGTTTTTATGCTTACCAGTCGTGTAGAGGCTGGCTAACTCCTTGGCCCCGGCATGTTGCGGTCCCCATCGAGGCTTACGCTCCTTTTCAGCGAACAGGCTATTTGAATTAGGGTCATCTTCTAACATAGAGTAGCGTAAAATTTGCTCCTCGGACTTAGCTGCCATCTTCGACTGACTCCTCCTCACCTGATAACGAGACCGGAAGTGAGGATGAAAATGGAGCAGTAAGTTAAGCTTTATTATTGGCTATTAAAGCTCAATGCGAAATTTCTCATATTTGGAAAAAGTCCTAAGTTTCACCAAAACATTTTTTCGTTTAAATTAACCTGCTTTTTAACCACTGTTTTAATTTTCTAACTGACGCCTTGCTATGTAACTTGAATAAAGTCGGTGAAAAAAATGTCACGGGTTTGGGTTTCCTAGCAACAACATAAACGATGGCGTGACGCTAATCACGCCATTATTTATATTGTTATATTTTTATTTTCATTTTTGTCAAAGCCGGTTCGATTGGCAAGTAAATAATTTTCCAAAAGCTTGTGCTTTTACCGAAGAGAAAATTTATTTATCTAATTGTTTTGATTTTGTAAATCAATGGAAGAAGTCTCTGAACGAGTCATCTCCACGCTCTGCCCTTTTTCTCTTTTCGGTAACAAGAAAATGAAATCATTTTTTTTAACACAATAAATTTAATGTTACGAAAACAGACAATTTTTTTTTACCAGAAGTTAGCATACTAGTGAATTAAAAAAAAAAATAATTATAATTTTTAAATTCTTTTAAAATATTTTTTAACTGTTCATTATTTATTGACTAAAAAACAAATAAGAATTTGTATTTGTAAGTCAAATTACTTTCAAACACGTTTTGTTTATTGTCCAGCACATTTGTTTAATTACTTTTTAATTCTACCACTCTGCCATCCTCCTCTTTCATCAAACCCTTCCTTAATTTAAAAAGGATTATTTTTTATAGTAAGTAACTAAAAATAATATTCTTCTTGATGACTAGGATGCAATATGAAAATTAATGTTCTCCACAGGGTTGAATTATGACCTTTTGTGGCACCTAATGAAATTATGACCTCACCGTCAGACAAAAAGCCAACCTCTCCCCAGCATCCGTCTTGATTACTTTTTTTTTTTACTCGTGATATATTTTAGCGGCATTTACATAACTTTAAGCAGACTTACTGCAAATTCTTTAAATAAACTAGAACAGCTTTCTTTTGTGTGCCAATAAAAAGTTAAAAATATTCTTTAAGAACTTAGAAGTACCACTATTTTTTACTATTTTAAACCAAATTAGCATATATTTCAACAGAACCGTAGTAAAAACAACAATACAAAATAAAACAGATTTCTTATAACCAGCATTAGAAAAAACAACCAGAAAAATGAGTTTGTCATATTGATATCATTTTTCACTCAGTTTATGATACTATTTACAAGAAAATTAAAATCACTGGTTTATAAAAGAAAATCAAGATTTAAACATTCTCAACTAAAATCGAACATAAATACAATACAATGACTCAAACTAAAACATTCTTTGCTTTGCTTCCTATAAAATCAAATAAATATGAGTTTGTCATATTGATATCATTTCAGTTTATAAAACTATTTAGAAGTTATAACATCTAGAAAATGAAAATCATTGCTTTATAAAAAGCTTGAGGTACCCTAAGCTGTAGCCTATATTAGCTTAAAAAGAATAATCTTATCCTTGTCCTACACAAAAGAAAATACTGCAAAATCTCCATTTCTAAATGCAGCAAGAAACTTTCATGTTCATAAATCAATCAGAAGTGATTTCATTGCAATTGTTTATTACTATTACTTCAAGAAGTGTAGGCATGGCTAGAAAAATAATGAAATTCAAGTAAAAGAAAAAAAAGTAATAAGTGCAAAATATAATTTTCTTTTTACTCATATTAATAATTAATTTAACATACTGTTAATAAAAATGACCCAATTTATTTACATATATCAATATTGCCATTCCTTTCTCCAGCTGACAATTTTTTTTTATTAATATTAAAGTTTAATATTAATATAAATGTTTAATAATTAAACATTTATCGCGGTTAGTATTTTAGTGGCTATTTTGATACATTTTTGTAAATAAATTTTTAACCATGAAAATAAGAACTTTAAAATCTTTCAGAACTAAAGATGAGAAAAGTTCTTGTTGTATGTCGGCGTGTAATTAATCTGCAGCCAGTTATCAGTTATGTGCCATACGTGATAGGCGATCATGTATCTTTCGATACATGACTGACAAGGCAGATTTTTTTTCCCGGGGGAGGTTGCCATTTCTTTCTGCGGTAGACTAGTTGCCATCCAAGGTTATAGAATCCGGTCTGTCCTGCTATTTTCCCATAGCTGGGGTGGGGGAGAGAGAAGAAGAGGATTCACACCTTTCCCAAGGGTATTAGCACGTAAGTGAATGTAATGAATGGATTCGACTAGAATTCGAACTCGGCAAACAACCTAAAGCTTTGAAAGAAAGAAAAAACACAACCACGTCAAATAACTTGCTTTCTACGATGTCCATGCGTGGACGATAAACAACCAACAAATGAGAACTTCCCTCTTATTAATTTCTGTTTGCCTTGTAGATAAGGAGGCGGTGGAGTAATGGATAGCGGCTCGGATTAAGGCACTCGGAGAATCGAATTCCAGCCGAATCCATTTACATTCATTTACGTACTAAATCCTCTTCTTCACTCCTCGGCTATGGGTAGCAGGACAGGCCGGTTTCTATAGCCTTAGATGGCAACCTAGAACCTACTGCATGAAAAAATCTGTCTCGTCAAGTCGCCTAAGCGTGTATCACGCATGGCACATAACTTGTAGATAAGTCAACTTTTTCGAAAAACACTTCCACAATGACTTAAATTTTGTACATCCACTGCACGTACTAACTACACATTTCGCGAAAAAATTTGATCTCCAAAGAATACAGTTTTGCAATGACAAAAAAAAGGTGTTATGTGCATTGTTTATATAACTTTTTGTCATAATTTGATTTGTATTTTCTTCGTGTCGAAGTATTGGAATGTCTAAAAAATCGACATTTTAAAATAATTTGCACATTACTGTCAAATAGAATTTTAATGCTTGATTGTATTTTTGATATTTTCTCTTGTGTCCTTTAAAAATCTTATTTGTGGTGGGAAAATATTGCATAACCTAAATGCTATTCTTAACTTTTTTTTGTTACCTTATTGAAGCTACGTAACCTTTTCAAGTTGTATGCGTTGTAGTTCGTAGAAAATTTAAATAAGTTATCTTTTAAGTAAACGAGGGGTTAAGTTTGGATGTAATTCCTGTTGTAACATTTCTTCCTTTAAACCTCTATACTTCTCGTCACATCTATTGGTGGAGGGTTTAATACGGGCTTAATAAATTAACATAGGTTTAATAAATTTTATTTATTTATTAAGCTTAAAACTTTTGAGTTAAATAATAAATAAAAGAAATAAATATTCTCTTCTTAATCCAAATGTCAGATTATCACGGAAATTATACATTTTTGTAGGTATCTAAAAAATGATTTTAAAAATGGAAAAAAAAACTTTCTTGAAGCTTTTATTTTAGTTTTAATTCCAAGCTAACAGATTAAATTTAATATTTCCAATAAGCAAAATAAATTGCTGTATTTGAAACCGAATTTAAATTGATTGGATTGATTTTTATAAAACACAAAAATCGGTCATATTGACAAATCTGTCAACACGACATAATTCTTTTTATTAATAATAAAAAATAATATTCTGAAAATTTATTTGAGGAAGATTAACTGATTTAAAGTTAGGACAATTGTATCCATATTATATCTTATTCATTAAATCAATTGCAAGCTTTTCTCATTAAATAATATCTTAGCTTCATTGCATTTTTTATTTTACGATTTTCTGTAACTGTAGGTTCTGATTGACAAAAAGAAAATTGATATTTTAAATTCTCCAAGTACTTGTCAAGCATTAAGCGCAGCAGAAATGAATTTCTCGAAATTTCACAAAATTAAATAAGTGAAGTTAACAGATGTACAAATATATTTTTAACAAGATTTTCTAAAAAAGAAACTTTTCAAAAAGAATTTAATTCATTTATGAATAAGTCCTTAAAGTTTCATTAAAATCCAACAATTATCCAATTTTTGCAAGAATTTCCAAATTAATGTGTTTTTCACCGTAGAAGACGCTCAAATTTCCCATACTAATTTCTGGTCACACGTTGACGCAAGAAAAACAAAATTTTAACTAAAATTTTGAAGGTTCTAAAAAGGATTAAAAAATATATAATTTAATAATAAAAAATCCTTTGGTCTTTCCTTTTAATAACATAATTATTTTGTCGATCAAATTTTGTTTTTATTAAGTTGTGGGTATTTTTTCATCATGTATGCTCATTTTTTAGAGAATCTTTTTTAGAGGTACCTAAATTTTTGCACATTTTCAATCTATCTTGAGCTTTGTGGGCAAAGGGCGTGGAACGCTAAGTTATTGTAATAATTTTAATTAAAGAAGGATTAATTTAATGCGACATTAAATGTGAACATTAATTTCTATCCTTGTTTATTTTCCTTTGACATTTTGAATTATAATAAAAACTACAGCACTTTTCTGTAACCTAACGAAAACCATACAGGTGCACTTATGTTTGTCCCTATAAATTACAAAATATTGTTAACAATAACATTAAGCCGCATCACAAGGAGCAATTCCTTTAATTTTTACAAGCCACACTGAGCCTATTTAAGCGAAACAAGGGGGAAAATGATCATTTTAGTATAATTTTTATTAGTAGACAATAAGTGTTTTAGGAGGTTCATTATAGTTATTAATTTTGAAGTCAGTTTTGGGATAATCTTCATTAATGACACTGAAATTTTTCTTTGCTTTTCAAACAAAATCAATATACAACCTAAATAAAGGTGTTATTGTTTTAGATGGTCAAACTACAGCTGACTGATTCTACAGATGTTTATTTCACTTCCAATTTTAGAGGATTTATCAGAATTAGAAAAATACATTGTTTGAAGTGAAAGAAAGAAAGAAAAATACATGGAATCTAGGATCAGTCGACAAACGTGATTCATTTCTCACCGGCTGGAAAGAAGTGGATATTGTTATCGTGATAAAATATTTTTTAGTTACC